AAAGACATGCCTGGTTCTACTTACATAGAACGTAGAGCGTACAAGCATAGCACAAAGCATACACAAACGTGGCGCAAACAAACAAACCAAAGGACGCGACGTATCTTTGACGTTTCAGTCGATAGTAAGTCGAAAACTGACGAAGAATCACGTAGCTGCTGATGACTGATCGACGATTACCGATTTGGCACGACGACCTCGCCGACTGTTGTCGATTGCCATCACCAACTATTTCAGATTAATTCTTAGCTGATCAATATATTTTCGTCTTTGAACACCTGGTAATTTTTTCAAGTATTTTATAAATACTTTCAAATATTTACAATAGTTTTTTTTCCTAAAGTTGCGAATTAAATAAATAATTGTGTCAATTATTAATCAATTGACGAATGGTCAATCCCTCAATCAAACGCCTAATCAGTAAAAAACCTCATCACAATGACTACCCACAATGTCCTAAGCTTGGTTAGCTTAGCAAATATCATTGGTGGTAAGTCTTCGATTTGATTGCTGGATAAAATCCTGTAAGATTACAAAATTTAGCGAGATACTGATAAAGAACAAAGCCGTAGTTTTAGTTTCAACGGAAAAAAAACTATCCACGGATATTAGTGGTGGAACAGAGAATTACCTCTGAAGCGTAAATTAAAGTGCTAAGAGAAACCCATGAAAAACCCCTAAAGGGTATCAGGAAACCGCACGAGGTAAAGAAAAACTTCTTCTGACCTTGGTGGGAATCGAGCCCATGACCTCCGGATTAGATCTACCGTTGCTCTGCCTACTAAGCTACAAGGTCGGACAGATCGAGAAAGTCGGAGTCGATTAAGGTGGAGAATCACGGCGAAGAGAAAGTAAGGGTACATATATAAATGTTGTGCCGCGTAGGTAGTGGGTTCGATTCCCACCGAGGTCATAAAAGTTTTTTCTTTACCTCGTGTGGTTCCCTAATACCCTTTACTAGAACTAACACCCACTGGGTTTTTCATGGGTTTCACTTGGCACTTCAATTTACGCTTCCGAGTTAATTCTCTGTTCCGCCATTTGTGTTCAAAGTGCTACGCAGTACAACATTTATATATGTAACCACGGATATTTCCGAAAGTTTTGTTCCTTACAGTGTTGTGAGCCTCGTTACGTTGCAAAAGATTCCGTCTGGCAGTTTCTCCACTTTGTTATTAGAGAGATCCCTGAAAGTTACAAAGAAAATGAGTTAGAAGTTTCAGAAACATCTTCAATCCACAGATATAACGCCCATAAGAAAATAATAACAGAATAAGGAAAACAATAAAAAAATATCTACAATCATAGTGGATTTTGTTGTAGCCAATCCACACCTCTCCTCAATCTCTACATAAACGAGCCGCATCGGATCCTAAGTTAGATCCTAATACGTCATGGAACATAACTCAATGGAAGTATTTCATTTTTTGAAACTCGTAATAAGTTAAATGTAAATACTGTCTATCGAAATAACAGAACCTACAGTTCATCCAAGTTAACCAAATCCTTGAAAATGTCCTTGGGTAGCATTTGGATCGCGTTGTCCTGCAGCCATCTGAGTGGAATTGTAAAAATTTGAGTTCAGATACCTAATGCTCACCGAAATCTTATTCCTGTTAATGCTAAGTGGGAGCGAGCTTTTCTTCCTTATTTAGATCAAGGTAAACAGCAGTGCTAAAATTGATTTTTTTTACATCTGCGCTCGGCATTAGCTTTCACCTAAATGGATCTGCACATTGAGTAAAATATCAAGTGTGATTACAGTTCAGTAAACAAACTAAAGCGAAAATGTTTGATAATCTCTTACAGCTCTATTTTGGCATGTTGATACTTTGCACTCTAATTCAAAAATAATCAATTAAGGTCTCACGGAAATGGCATAGACATTTAATTCTAATTGTTATTTTGCTCGTGAAAAGCTTTGTTTTCTTAACTCACAGTTTTGATAAGTGTCTCAAGCCATCAAACAATCGCTTTGGTAATTTTTCCAGATTGTTGATTTGAAGACGTCTGCATAAGAAGAGGAGTTCAAGAAGTGTCGTCATGATAAAAATTTAGCAAACAATATCATATAAAAATGAGGAAAGTTGCACCCTGATTTTGGATTATAACATAAATCACGTAAAGCGCGCGCTCTAATTGGTCAACTCAGTGTCTACTATTTGCTCATGTGGTACGCTGCTGACGTGAGCAAATGTTTCCAAGTAAGTTAATGTTTCGGAAGAAATTGTTTTTTATGTTATAAAACAAATGGTAAACACCACAGCGTACACAATGGAGTTATGGATGCACGCGGGAAGTGGCTAAGCACAAGAGAAACGAAGAGTCGCACAAGGCGATGGTCGAGAGTGACTCTAGCTTCTTATGGTGTGGTGTGGTGTTTACCATTTGTCAACTAATGAACATCTATTTAACAGATTTCGACCAGTCCACTTCTGAAGCTCAGTTTCCAAGAACTCAGCATTACTAACTTCATCAGTGATAAGTTACTTTAAGATGTCTCTTTTTTAAATATCATTAAAAATCATGCAAATAGCTCCTTTATTTTTCTTCGGCTCGTAATCAGTTCTTGTGCCACCAGATACTCAAGGGTTGTATAATCTACCCCTAGAAATCTTTATCGATCTCCCTAAAATGTGTAGTATATTGCATGCGCTTATTTAGTTGGTGAAGAAAAACACACTTTACTTACAACTGCTGAAGCTTTACTGACTGAGTCAATAGAGTATGATGCAACTCCTTGATTCTGTTATTGTCCAGGGATCTAGAAGAGTTAGAGAGTATGCAAAACAGTTCCATGAGGAAGTGTAATAAATCTGTTCACGTTTCTCTGTGCGGCTTAGTTAGAAGGCAAAAGTGGAAAGAGAAACCAGGAGAGAATGGAGCGAGCAAAGATCCCCAAACATGCTTCAAATAGGAGTTACTTGTCTTATCTACTCGGGACTGTCAATCTGTAAACCATATTATCCTCTCTTACTCCCTTTAAGATTGGCGACACTCGGCCGTAATTTACATATATTTTCGCTAATTAATGAAAACGAATCTCAGCATATGGTGGATAAATGTTAGCAAAACCGATATAATCTTTAGAAATATAATTCATTGATTATTTAATTGAAAACTTACAGGTAGGTCAACTCGGTGTTGCTATTGAAGACTCCCTTCGGTAGTTCCTCTATCTGATTTTGGTCTAGATATCTACGAGTATGTACAGGTCTGTGAGTTGAACGTCTTACGTAGTTGTTGTTGTTCCTTTTTAGTGGTTGTGAATTTAAGGATTTATTCATGTAATATAAGCGTCAACTAGCATTGTTTGACTGGTTGAGCCAAACAAATTTTAATGAATAATCAATAAAGGCAGTTCACAGTTGATAACCAACCATGGGTGTCGTTTCTTCTCTCGTTGTAGTTGAGTATTTTTGACTTACGTTGCCCTGGAAAAATCCTGGTACACTCGATTTATTTTGAAGTTGGTATTTTTGGTATTGCGAAACTAGCCTCAAGGCGGAATTAACCTTAAACAAAACGATAGAGACAGCAAAGGACGTTGTAGGGGCTGGAGACAAGAAACTGGGCAATCGCCGATGAATTCATCAATTCCTTGAATTATTTGAAAGAGACCTAATTTCACATTGTAAAACATTATACGTATGTTACAGAAATATGACTACAAGTGCATTGCTGGTATGCGGTATTGCCAATTCTCTGAAATGAATTAAAAGGCCTTTTCAAGTAAATTAAAGAATAGCCAGTTTCTTTGCTCATGGTGGATGAGTGTTAACATCATAGTTCCGCATTCTCGTCAAGGATCAACTGGTTATTGGTTAAGACTTTTAACAGCGATAAATGTTTCAAGATTCTTCACTTACAGCTCGTGCAGCTTGACTAAAAGATTAAATAAATCACCAGGCAACTTCTTGATTTCATTGTTTTGTAACCACCTATAAAAGTTTAGAAAACGTTTCTTGAGGGTGACAAGATAAAACAAAGAACTTCTCAAAGTTTTCAAATTTGGATATTCTAGGAAAATAGGGGGTTTTCTCGGTCACTAACAAATATCGGTTGTGTTTAAAGCAAGGTTCTCTGCTTACAACGATTACAACAAGGTAATTTTCGTTTTATCAACTGAGTTCATATTGTAAATTGACCACCGTAAGAGTTTCAAAGCTGAAGTTTCGCGCGTTAGCCCTTCGTCAGAGCAAAGGAGGAATTGAGGGTTGTGTGTGAGCCTACACGCAAAAATGGAGTTACGCTATTAGTGGGAACATAGTAACAAGAAAAAAAAAGAAGAAATTAGTGGAATGAAAAGCGTTCGTGGATACCGTTAGGATTAAAAGTGCCGATTTACAAGATGAACTTCTGTTCTAGAGTTTTGCACCTTTCCGAACTACACGAATGTATGGAAAAGCCGCAGACTGCGATATGCTGCTTAGAATGATAAGTCAGATTAAATTGTCTAGCGACTCGTTTTAATGCGTCCCTGTCATTCCTTTCTACTGTCGCGAAGGTGTTCTCCGAATCGGTCACCTGATCGTGTTCCTGTTTCAGCAATGAATATCTTTTTGCAATAAGTGCAAGTTATGCAATAGATGACTTTGGCGGAGGTGCACGTGAAGTGATCAGTAATCTTAATTGATCGTGTGGGTCCCGATATTTTCTAACTTTATGAATGAAAGGACAAGTTTTGCATCGTGCGCGAGTGCATTTGAAACTTGTGGGTTGATCATTAGTTTGTACTGAACTTCTGACCAAAACGTTTCCTATGTTTTTGAAGCTTTTGAATGAAATAAGTGGAGGTTGTGAAATGATAGTACCGGTCTCTGAATCGTCTTGAAGTTATTGAAAACTTTTAAGAATGATGGATTTAACTGCGTGGTTGTGAGGGTGAAATGTGAAGGTGAATAGAATGCGGTCAGTAGTTTCCTTATGTGACGTTTGTAGTGCTGATTGTCGATCAATTAGTTGGGCGCGATGGTGGCCCGCTTGAACGACAGAAACAGGTTTCTTAATAGTGCCTTGATCAAAAATATGTTTGAAGCCTAGGAGACCTTCGCAATTAGGAATGACAGCATAAGTAGAGAGATGTAATATCCATAGTCAAAAGAAGTTTGTCTACACCAAGAAAATTAAAGTCTAAAAATTTCAGGTGCGTGTTTGCTGTCTTTAATACCTGATGGTAAAGTTTTGACGTTAGGAGCCATAATTTAGTCTAAATAACTGGTAACAGGTTTAGTGGGACAACTGCCGGCCAAGACAACGAGTCGAGCTGGGTTGTTATGGTGAGATTATTCGCAGTAAGTCGAAAACTGACGAAGAATCACGTAGCTGCCGATGACTGATCGACGATTACCGATTTGGCCCGACGACCTCGCCGACTGTTGTCGATCGCCATCACCAACTATTTCAAATTAGTTCTTAGCTGATCAATATATTTTCGTCTTTGAACACCTGGTAATTTTTTCAAGTATTTTATAAATACTTTCAAATATTTACAATATTTTTCTTTCCTAAAGTTGCGAATTAAATCAATAACCGTGTCAATTATTAATCAATTGACGAATGGTCAATCCATCAATCAAACGCCTAATCAGTAAAAACTTCGTCACAATGACTACTCACAATGTCCTAAGCTTGGTTAGCTTAGCAAATATCATTGGTGGTAAGTCTTCGATTTGATTGCTGGATAAAAGCCTATAAGATTACAAAATTTAGCGAGGTACTGAAAAAGAATAAAGCCGTAGTTTTAGTTTCAACGAAAAAAAAAAACTATCCACGGATATTAATGGTGGAACAGAGAATTACCTCTGAAGCGTAAATTAAAGCGTTAAGAGAAACCCATAAAAAACCCACTGGGCGTTAGCCCCAGTAAAGGGTATCAGGAAAATATCGTGTGGGTCCCGATATTTTCTAACTTTATGAATGAAAAGACAAGATTTGCATCGTGAGCGAGTGCATTTGAAAGTTGCGGGCTGATAATTAGTTTGTAGTGAAATTCTGACCAAAAAGTTGCCTATGTCTTTTAAGCCTTTGAATGAAATAAGTGGAGGTTGCGAAAAGATAGTACCAGTCTCTGAATCGTTTTGAAGTAATTTAAAGTTTTTAAGAATAATGGATTTAACTGCGTGGTTGTGAATGTGAAATGTGAGAGTGAATAGAATGCGGTGAGTATTTTCATTCTGTGACGTTTGTAGTGCTGACTGTCGAAATATTCGTTGGGCGCGGTGGTGACCCGCTTGAACGACAGAAACAGGTTCCTTAACAGTATATCTGAGCACATCCATATGGAATTTGTGCACTACAAATGCTGTATTATTATTATTATTATTGTTATTATTATTATTATTATTATTATTAACAGTGCCTGGATCAAAACAATGTTTGAAAGCTAGGAGAACTTTGCCATCGAAAATGACAGAATAAATAGAGAGATGTAATATCCATAGTCAACTGAAGTTTGTCTTCGCCAAGGAAATTAGAGCCGAAAAATTTCTGGTGCGTGATGGCTTTCTTTAAAACCTGACGGTAAAGTTTTGACGATAGGAGCCATAATTTTGTCTAAATAGCTGGAAACAGGTCTGGTGGAACAACTGCAGGCCAAGACAACGAGTCGACCTGGGTTGTTAGGTTTGTCAATTTTAGGTAAAAAGTAACTCAAGCGTTCTAGGAGGGTTGATGGCGAGACTATTTGCAGTAGCCGGAAATTGTAAAACAATGAATAATTGAATCTCCACGCAACTTGTTGTTGTTGAACAGTCTTTGAGTATTTAAGAATTAATAACGATATCGATACTGATAATAATAGTATTGAATATGTTTATGTACAATAGACTTGTTAAATAGCTACAAGTTAGACAAGGAGAAATTCCTCCATTTGGCGAAATTCGTCGCATAAATCAAGAAAATCAGCGAAAAAAAGACCTGATGTTACCACACCACACAGGCCTCTGGGAGTGCGGTACACTCCCAGATTTCCGCGCGGTGCGCATTTTTTTATTTTCGAGATGGATTTCGCCGGAAAGGAGGGATTGCAGGAGGTAAATCCTTCATTCCCTTTTTGTATCGCACCCTACGAAAATAACTATTATTTCCTGATCTTAAGAGCTNCTTTAAAAGAGTTTGGGCTAAAAAATGACAACAAATGTAAAGCGATCCGTTGAACGACTGTCACGCAAGAGGTCGAGGCCAATCTTTCAACTTGGCCAGGAATGTATCGCTCTTAATAAGTTCTGTTCTATGTTACTAATCTATCGTTTAGAGTCGGTTGTTTAACATAGTATTTTCTGAAGGGGAATTTGAACAGATTGCCAGTGTTCTCTTTTAATGAGTAATTTTCAGTTCTTTATCGACCACGACATAAGGAGAATGCCATGCAAATATCAGCGCCGAGCAGATTTAATATTTCAATATAGTATTTAGTGATGATTAAATTGGTCACTTACAATTCGGTCAACTCTGTGTTGCTATTGAATACTCCAGGTGATAGCTCCTTTATCTGATTGTCATTTAGGTATCTACGAATACAGACAGGTTTGTGAGTGGAACGTCTTGCGTTACTTCTGTTGTTTTCTTTTGTGGTTGTTAATTTAAGGCTTTGTGATGAATTGGAAAATGTAAAACTTTTTGAAAAGCTGGAGCAAAGTGTTCTCGTCATAAAAGCGTCGACTAACATTGCTCGACTAGTTGAGCCAACCGCGCGTCAATGAATGAAAAAAGACATTTCATCGCTGATAACAACTATGTTTTTAACTTCTTTTCCACTCTTGTTTTTGTTTGGTATTTCTCCTTTCGATGCCCTGGAAAAATTCTGAGAAATGCAAACGATACATTTTGGAATTGTTATATTTCATATCGCACAATTAGTCTCAAGCCGGACTCCACTTAAACAAAACGACAGTGACAGCACAGGACAGTACATAGGCTTAAGATTAGAAATTGAATAATCGACATGGACTCATCGGTGCCTCCAATTAGGAGATCCTATATTACACTGTAAAACAAGTACCTACTGTACGGAATTTTGAATAGAGCTATATTGTGAGTTAACGAAGTTTCCATTCACTGATTCTCTAAAATGAATTTAAAGGCCTTTTTAAACAAGATCAATGATTAACCAGATTCTATGCTCTTGGTGGATGACTTTTGATATATCCCACATTCTTCTTATGGATCAACTAGTTACTGTCCAAGACTCCATCAGCGATAAATACTCAAACATTCTACACTTACAGCTTTTGAAGCTTGACTAAAGGAGTAAATATGTCTTTTCCCAATTCCTTGATTTTGTTATTGTTTAACCACCTACAAGTGTTTAAAAACGTTTCTTGAGGGTAAAAAGAGAAAGCATGAAGAACTGCTCGAGATTTTAAAACTTTAATAGTCCAGGCGAAAGAGGGTAAATATAAACGGTACGCAAGCATCCATTTCTTTCGCTGATTTTCCTGACATGCGATACGGAGGGGCTGCTCGTAGTCTATTTCAAGTTGACCAATTTGGTTTTGTTATTAAAGACTCCGGAAGGTAAATCCTTCATTTAATTGTCCTTAAGTCACTAGGAAAATGACTGATATTCCCTAATTTTAAGGTCTTATCTAATACAGTTGTTAATACAGCTTCTTAACTGAGTCGGTTATTCAAAATAACATGTGCTGTTGCATGAGTAATTTGAACAGATTTCCACGGAAAGGTGATCTCTTTCAATGGAAGTAACCCTCAGTTCCTTGTCGCCCACTAAATAAAGAGAATTCTAACTCATGCCAAGTAAATGTAAGCGTAAACTGATATAACATTTCAATATAGCATTATCTGATTATTTTGAACTTTGGGAACTTACAATTCGGTCAACTCCGTGTTGCTATTGAAGGATCCAAGTGGTAGCTCCTCTATCTGATTGACATCGAGTTTTCTACGAGGACATAAAGGTTAGTAAGTTGAACGTCTTGTGATGCTGTTGTTTGTTTCTTTTCGTGGTTGTGAATTTAAGGTTTTGTTTGGAATTGGAAAAAGGGAACTACAAAGTGTTCAGTCACAACAAAGGACGGTGCGTAAGTTTGAGATTAGAAATTGAATAATCGACATGGTGCCTCCAATCACCCAAAAGAGAGATCCAATTTCAAACTTTTGACACATGCGACAATAGAGAGTTTTGACTCGAAGTATATTGTCGATATGCGAAGTACTCTGAGACGTGCACAGAGGCCTAAACCAATGATAAACAAGATTCTATGCTCATTGTAGATGACTGTTGACACATCCCACAATTCTGGTTATTATCCAAGACTCTATCAGCAATAAATATCCATAGGCCCTTCACTTACAGCCACTGAAGCTTGACTAAATGAGTAAATAGATCACCACGCAACTTCTTGATGTTGTTTTTATTTAACCACCTACAAGAGTTTAAAAACGTTTCTCTCAGGTAACAAGACAAAACAAAACGAGCTGATCGAAATTTTCCAATTTTAATAGCCTAGGCAAATAGAGAGTAAATATAACCATCGTACGCGTGCATTGAGAGTTGTGATACGAACATGAAGTCTTTCTCAGTCGCTAACTAATGTCTTTTGGGGTTCTCGCGACGATGAACCTAACAGTAAGGTTCGTCACACAAAAGGATTATGGCTTCTCTGACTCAGTAACTAAATCACTACGCAAAAAGTTGTCGTTCGACAATCTTTGAGTATTTTAGAACCAATAAATATAACGATTAGGATAATAATAGTAAATATTTAAGTCAACCATAAACTTTTTACTGCCTTGCAAGTTATACTACCAGAAAACCCTCCTTTTTTGGCGAAATTCATTGCGCAAGTCAAGAAAATCAACGTTGAAAAAATATTTATGTAAGCGCGCCGCACGGAGTTCTGGGAGTCGCCTCACTCCCATGGCTCTGCGCCGTGTGCTAACACGGGATCAAACTTTTTAAGAAAGTCAAGAAGAAAAGATCTGATGTTACCACAATACGTGGAACTCTGGGAGTTTGGCGCACTCCAACAGTTCTGCACCGTGCGGTAACAGCAATATTTTTCCATGAATTTTTAGACTTGCGCGACTGATTTCCTCGAAAAAGGGGGACTGCTCGTAGTCTATTTCAAGTTGACCAATTCGGTGTTGTCATTGAAGACTCCAGGTGGTAAATCCTTATTTGGTTGTTTTTTGAGTCTCTACGAGAATGACTGATATTCCCTAATTGTAAGGTCTTTTCTTAGTTACTAATTTTGAGCTTCTTAGAGTCGGCTCTTTGAAGTAGTATGTGCTGTAGGGTAAATTCAACAGATTCCCACGGAATAGTGATATCTTTTAGTAACTTTCAGTTCCTTATCGACCACTTAATTAAGAGATTTTTAACGAAAGGCTTGTCAAAAGGAACCCAGTGATTTTGGGCTGTAGTAACGGTAAGCTCCTTCGTGAACCGATCAATTTTTTAGCGAGTAGATAGCGGAGAAAAGAGAGAGACTTTCACAAAAATATTTTTATTAGTATAATGATAGAAGTGATTTAAAGGCTTCCAAAAAAACATTTTCTGTTTATAAGTATCGGTAATGATCTGGCAACTGACAATTACAGCGCGAAAAAAAGCCCACAGACACTTTCGATTAAATGGCAAACAAACACTTGCCTTGAATGAATATCGCGACGAGCTTCTCAACAAAAACAGTCAGTAATCCTACTGAAAGTATTATTCAATTCCAGCCAAGATTCATCTTTAAAGATTTAACTCTGTTTAGTTTTAAATGGCAAGGAAAGTCGTTGAAAGGAATTTCAAAATGTATGTTTTGAAGTTTGTAGAGTCTGTTTACTTGTTTATTGCATTGGCGTTTGTAAATCATGATCTTGTCTTTGCTCCACCGAAAAACTTAAGTCAAATGACACAATTTTTCAGCTGGACGCAAAGGGACTTAATGCAGCTTTTAATTGAATTGAGTTTGAATTGAATCTTTATTAAGGCATAAGATAAATAATCACATATCCTATGTTACAACATTAAAAGAAACTATATATAAACTACAGAGAAAGTCATGATAAAAATGATAAGACTAGATTATGTTTTAAAATTAAGCGGTTGACAAACGTGTTTTTGAACCTATCAGTGTTTATTTTAGGACGGTGACTTGTCTCTTTCCTCAGATTGCACTTGGTTGATTTCTTTTTTGGCATTATAGCTCTTAAAGGATTTGTTGTATTATTAAAAACATTCTTGAAGATACGTGTGTCTTGTTGATCTAACAATTCATAGACATTAATGTGGTCGGATGTATACTTGCGCTTATAACATCGATCTAAGAAACATTGGATTGTTGTTAATTCGGAATTTACAGCGCCAAATACGGGCAGCCCGTATAATATATTTGGTAGAACCAGATTTAGAAACAGATGGTCTACTTCGGCCTGATTGTACCCTTCTTTCCTTAAAGATCTTAAAATGAACAGGCACTTGTTTGCTTTGATTAGTTTTTCCCGAATATGTGTTATAAACCTACTATCTTCCTGAAATGTTACCCCTAAATTAGTAAGCTCTTTTGTCTGTGGTATTCCAGACACAATAGGAAACTCTATTGTACAACCTTTCTTGCGGAAAATGATTTCCTTGCACTTAGATGGATTACTACTCATATCATTACTTCTACACCACTGGGAAAACTGATTAATCAGTGCGATAGAATTGTCATTATCACTTATCACAGGCGAGATAATGGTTGTATCATCAGCATATTTTACCAGTACGCTCTTATTGTCCAAGTGTATCTCTAAATCACTGAGAAAGACATTGAACAAGTGCGGCCCGTTGACACTTCCTTGGGTGGTACCTTTGTTGACACTTTTCAATATACCAATAAATCCATTGCTAATGACTCTCTGCTACCTGTCTTCCAAAAAGCTTAGATACCAGTTCATTATATAAGGGCTTAGGCGGAGTTGCTTCAATTTGTGTGAGAGGAGATCGCATTTCAAACTGTCAAAAGCCTTGCTGAAATAGGCGTACCGCTTTGCACTATGGGATATCAAGACATTGATTGACAGTATGTTGGATAGTCAGTAGAGCATTCGTACAGCTCTCTCCCTCTATGTATGCAAACTGTGAGATCCCAGAATGTTCATCGAAGGTCTCCCATGCGTGTGTTCCTAAGACAGCTTTCTCAAAGCACCTTGCGATGACAGGTGTCACATTTATTCCGCGAAAGTCTGATATTCCCTTAGGTAGATCAACCTTCGGCAAGGGGTTCAGGTCTGACCTTTTACAAGGGACAGACCAGGCGTGTGTTCTAAGAGACAGATTCCAAATCCTGGTGATAACTGGAACGAATAGCTCGGCGTGGTCTTTCCATAGAGTGTACGGGATACCATCTGGTCCGGTTGCTGTTTTCTTTATGCGCATGAGAGAATTCAGGACTTGTCGCACTGAGATTTCTGGGACTTCCTGGTCTTCACTAATCTCCAGACGTCTTGGCTTTATGTAGGCGTGGTCAGTACATAGGTCACCAAAGTAGTCATTTAACGCATTGAGTGCGTCGTGGCCAAGAATTGAGTTCCTTCATTGAATTCCTTCCGAATCGTTTTCTGTAGTGCAATGTATGGTAGATGTGCCAAAATTCGAGGAACTTGCCTTGATTGTTTATTTGTAGAAGGACTCAAAACTTTGCTTAACGGTTTAGAACGGACAAATTGTTTACAAGAATTAAGATATTAAATAAATGAAATTTACAGTGATCAACTGCAAACACCTTGCGTTTTAACTTTCTAAGTTACTTTTTGTAGAGAACGATTAAATTATAAACGGCCACAAATTGAAATACTCGGAAAGTCAGGACCGCTGGAGTGCGCGAATAAGCCAATAAGATTCGAGGACTAAGGATTCCGGACCGCTGAGACGCTTGGAAAAAAATAATGGTTATTCAAAACTTTGGTGACTTACAAGAACTTCAGCTCCGTGTTGTTGTTGAAGACTCCAGGTGGCAGTTCCTCTATCTGATTACCATCCAGATGTCTACGAGTTTCTACAAGTTAGTGAGTTTAACGTCTTCCTTTCCTGTTGTTTGTTTCTTTTTGTAGTTGTAAGTGTAAGTTTTTGTTTTCCATCGGAGTTACTTTTTGAGGAGGATTATCAAATTACAAACGGTTATTAGGCAACAGATTGCAATACTCGGAGCGTTCTGCACCCCGGTTCTGAATGGGAAAATCCGGACCGCCGGAGCGCGCGAAATTAAATTAGCCAATGAAACTCGAGTAGTTAGGGTTCCGGACCGCTGAGATGTTTGGGAAAACAATAAATGGCTACAATAAACATTAGTGACTTACAACTGGTTCAACTTCTTGTTGGTGTAGAAGAGTCCAAGTGGTAACTCCTCTATCTGATTTTCACCTAGTTGCCTACAAGCATATACAGGTCAGTGAGTTGAACGTCTTGCTTTGCTCTTCTTTATTATTTTCTTGTGGTTGGACATTTAAGATTTTGTTTTCAATCAGAAAAATAAGAAATTGTGACAATCGTTGAAAAGCAGAGCAAAGTGTTCATGTCAGCAAAGGACGCTGCATAAGATAGAGATTAGAAATTGGACCATCGACATGGATTGATCGGTGCCTCCAATCACTCAAAAGAGACCCAATTTCACGCTGTAAACCAGGTATGTCCTGTAAAGAATTTTGAATACTTAACGGATCGACAGCGGTTGAGCGTGGTCTGTGCTCTTATCGACAACGATATTCGTCATAACAGTGGTCAAAATCCTGTTGGAATCCGCAACAAATTTTGTCCAAGGTACGATGACGAATATCGTTGTCGATAAGAGTACAGACCACGCTAAACCACTGTCGTTTCGTTTTTACCGCAATATGGACGTCAGTATTGACGAGCTGATCAATGCATTACGTGACACGTCTTGCTTGACTACGGCAAACTGGCCAATCAGATTGCGACATTACTACCAATTGTCGT